ATAGGTAAGGTTTATTACTATATACCTATAAGTAGAAAATTACTCTAAGGAAGTTAATAATCTCTAGTAAGAAGTTTATAAGATTAAGAAGTTATATAGTATTACCTTTATGTTTCTATAGTTTATAGCTAGCTATTCAAGTAATTAGTAAGTAGTTTTTATCTAAAGGTCTAAGTTTTAAGAAGGACTTCTATTAAACTAAGTTAAAGAGGTGTTCTATTAGTAGTATACTAAATTTGTATATAAGTAACTATAGGAATTAGCATAGTTTTCTAAGTTAATATACATCCTCTTATAGTAGTATTAAGCACTATTTAAAGTTTATTTACTTAGTTTTATAGGCTATACTATACTTTTAGCTAGATTCTACTCTTTTACTTTACTATAGGTTTAGGTAATTTAAGGTATTATATCTCTATACTAAATAGAGCTTTAGAAATAGCTACTATATGTAACAGGCTAGGCCTGTCACATGGGATGCTCTCGGATGTGTTCGGCACTGAGTAAGACATCAAGGGATAGGATATCAAGGGATAGGACATCAGGGTCGAAGATAAAAGGACATGTAGATGCAGCTGAGATGAACAAGAAACCTTCCTTCCTCATCTGAGGATTCTCATTTGAGAAAGGAAGTACGAGTTGCAACATTGCTCCTACCAACCCTGTGCACTATATATATTATTTTCCTTGTAGTATAAGGTAGTATATTAATATAAACCTTATTTAAGCTTTTAATATAGTTGTAATTACTTAAGCTATATTTACTTTGTCTTTAATATAATACTTATAGCTTAATTTACTATTAAACTAAACTTTAGGCTATTTTATAATAAGCTTTAAAGTAATTATATACTCTTTATATATAATTATAACATTATAAACTTCCCTCTATTAGAAAAAGTATTATACTTTAGTTTTAATAAGGTTAAAGTATATACCACAATACTCTCTAAAAGCTATAATTTAGTTTAAAAGTTTTTATATAGCGTTATAGTTTTTCTCTAGGGTTTTCGTAATATAGAGGGTTCTATACTTATTAGTATAACTAAATTTATACTTTAAGGCTTAATTTTATAAAGTAAAGATATATAGATAAAATAGAGGATAAAAGAGATAAGTAAGCTTTATAGTAGCTTATACTTCAGTAACTTTATCTTTATAGTATAGCTTTTAAAGTATACTTTAGCTTATCTTTAAGTTAGAAAAGACTTAACCTATCTGATTAGATTTAGTAGTTAGCTTTATTTTCTTATATATAGATAGAAGTAGGTATAAACTACTAAATTAAACGCTCCTCAAATATCTATTATAATTAAGGTGTATATTAGTTACTTATCTATTACTACTTTAATATTATATATAAATAAGCTAACTATATCTATCTTAGATCTCTTTAGTAATACTTTTATAACTTATAAGTATAAAACCTTACATTAGACTATAGTACTAGCTATTCGTTTTACTTAAAGTCTTTTAAGACCTTTATTAATTATTAATAGTAGTGAAATTAGGCGCTATCCCTTTAAAGTATTAGTATCTCTATTCATCTTTAGTATTATAACTACTTTAGTATTATAGAAGATTTTAAAGTGATATTTAATTTCTATATACTACTAGCAAAATATAGTAATAGCGTGTTATAAGTATAGCTATACTACTTAAAATATTATTATTATGATTTCATTAACTCTTAGTATAGTATTACCTACTTTAAGTATAGTAGATTAAACCTCTTTTTATAAAATAGTATTATCTTAAGGAATAACTTACTATAATACTATTAGTATATTAAGGTTAACCTTAATATATTTAGTAGTTTATTTAAGGAGTTTACTCTATAAGAAGTATGTTTTCTTAGTAAGTATATAAATATAGTTTTCTCTATTCTATAGAAAAGGAGATTTAAATCAAGTTTTTCATTTTACTTAACTTATAATCTTAAAGAGGCCCTTATTATTTTTAATTTCTTTTATAACTTTAGTTTACTATATAACTAAGCTTAGCTTTATAAATAATTTTATAAAAAAGCTTTTAAAGTTCTTTAGTTTCTTCTAAATCTTTATCCCTTTTTTTAATATATAATAATCTTTCTAAACGTTATAGTATTTATTATTCTACTAGTAGATAAAAATATTTTATAGATTTTCTTTTTTCTAGCTACTTCTAATATAATATAGAAAATGGTGAGGATATCTCTTATAAGCTTATTAAGATTATCCTTAGTTTCTAGAGATAAATTAAAAACTTATATAAGGTTTTTAATCTCTTCTATTAAATATATAGTATAATCTCTAAGTAAGTAGTATTTAAGTATATTAGCTATCTATAGTTTAGCGCTAAGATTTAGTATACTAGAAACTACTATAATAAGTATAAAGTAATTAAAGTCTATACATTAGTAGCTTAATATTTACATTTCAATTAGTAGTAGGCTCATTATAATAAAGTTAGAAATATGTCTAGTATTATATATTTGCTTCTTAAAGGTATTTACTATTATAAGGTTATACTATTTAATTTAGCGTTAGAACTATAACGCTCTTATATTTAGCTTAGCGCCTAGCTATTATACTAGGTATATAGTATTAAAGTCCCTTATTATAAGTAACTTAGCTAGTAGGGTCTATTACTTAAGTGTAGTTAGGATATATAGTTTATTACTATCTTTATAGATATTAAATTAGAGAATATTATCAATGGTAAGTCTTATTATATCTTAATATAGCTAAGGTGTAATACAAGTTATACTAAGGAATTAGTATAAGTTTTCTATATGTATTAAGACTTATAGACAATTATTATAGCATATTTAAGTAAGTTGTAAGCTATATAGTAAGTATTTAGTCATAATATAAGTTTTATTTAGCCTTTTATTAAGGTTAGTATATGTAGAGACTTAGGGCTTTTATATAAATATTAGGTTAGTATCAGCTTTATATCTATATAATAGTATAAGGCTATATATCTCTAAATATCTAGTAATACTTACTTAAAATATTATAGATTCTCTATTTATCTAGTAATAAAGTAATTAAGGTTTTAACCTTTATAAGGGTAGAGGTAGTACTACCTTTAGAGTAACTTTCTCTTAAGGCTTTAAACATATTAAACTCTACTTTTTTAACTAGTAGCAAAAAGTAGTTATAGTTTTATATTTTAATTAGTAAAGTATATTATATTTATTATGTAAGGGGTCTTATAGTGTTAATCTCTTCTATAAAGTTTTTAGCTTCTATATTCTTCTAGATAATATTCCTCCTTTAGGTTTTAATAAGATATATAATTTATTATAATCTCTCTTAAGCTTTAGTAAGTACTTGTTATTAATACTCTTATAATCTCCTTTGTAATTAGTATATTAAGTTAGGAGATAGTAGTTTTTATAAGCTTTTTTTAAAACTAAAATTATAATAATATTAGTTCTTTTTATATAGTTTAAGTCTATATTAGTTAAAGTATTTTAAGTACTAATTAATGATTATCTTTAGTTTAAGCTTAATAATATAATTACTACCCAATAAAGTAAAACGTTTAACTAAGAGTATCTTGTTAAAAGTAATAATTTATGTTTATAGAGCTTATCTATTAGTATAAGTAGCTACTATATATATTATAGGCTTAAGTTATAATTATTAGAGGACTTTATTAACAAGGATTAGCTTTATATTAATAGATTCTCTTCTAAAGTTAGAAATTATAGTTAGGATGTTATAAATTATATATATAATCTGTATTTCAAGTTATTTAATAGCACTTATGTTAAGTAGTTTAAGTAACTTAAGGCTACTACTAAATATTCTCTATTAAGCTTTATTAAAGTTCAAAGTAAGTATAAAACTAGTTTAAATCTTAGTTATCCTTATACGATTACTATTCTATAGTTTATAGTATACCTTTGTAAGGGTCTAGGACAAGGTCGGTGCCATTGGTCTAGCCTACTACTACGAGCATTCCAAGCTGGAGGAAAGAAGAACTATTCTGGGAAAGAGTGGTGCCCTTCTCATCTTTAAATACATGTGAGTCTTCTTCCAGAAGCTTCCATTGAGTAAGGGCCGACAAGGTTCTCATAACCTTCCACGATATTCTGTAACCTTCCAAAGTATTCCATAGTCGAGGTTCTAGCCGAAGCTTCATATCGGTTCATAGACCGTGACAGGTGTTCCCTCCATCGCTGCCGCCGGCGTATGTGTGGGTTGGCCGGAGTTATTGTCTAAATTCCTTCTGGAATTAGATCAAGGCAACGAGAAGCAATGCGAAACCGAGCTTTTGGGAGGGAACTTGTCCGCGCTAATAACTACCCAGCTAAAGTGGTTTCTTCTAGCTACAAGTCGATACTATGATGAAGCTCCACAAACACAAAGTTCAGAACGCTGTTGCGCCCGGAGAAATATCCTCGAGGATGCGAGTCAACTCTCCCCACACTTTCTCCTGCGCTATCGCTCCATCATCGCTCCTCACAAACGGCGACATCGCCTCGTTGTCAACCTCGCCGTCTCTCATGTAGATTCCGTGGCTCTCAATCCCCGCTGACGCTGCTGCAACAAGCGTCCGACTGCCCACCTCAGTAGACCGAGCCAGTACCAACTTCAGCATACTTGCCATCCATCCGTCCTCGCGAGTCAACTCTGAGTGACACATCCCAGGTTGCAGCATATTGACCACAACGCCTGAGCCTTCCAACCTCAAAGCCAGCTCGCGAGTCACCAAAATTTGAAGAAGCTTCGTGGCTGGGTATCGCATGTTCATGTCCGCTTTCGTCTCGTCATCCAAACTTCTGAAAGTGTTTTCCGTTTTCCATTCCGGCAAGTCAGTCCAGGCATGGACTTCGCTGGTTACCACAGACAAGTGAGGCGTGGCATCAGAATAAGTCTTTGCTGTTCTCTTCAAAACGGGCACCAACAGGAACGCCAGTAGAAAGGTGCTGATGACATTGACGGTGATGCTGCCTTCGTGTCCCTCTGCTGCAGTGAAATGCGTCGTCGCAATGCCCGCATTTGCCATCAACACATCCAGACGAGGAAGCTGTGAAGCTCGTGCTGAAAATACCCGTACTGAGTCGTACGAGGCCAAGTCTACCTCCCATACCTCACAAACACCCTGTCGGCCCGTTGACTGCTCGATCGTTTCCTTGGCTTTGTGTCCGGCCTCCACGTTCCTCACGGCGAGAATCACGCGGGCGGCATTGAGGCGGACAAAGTGTCGAGCCGCTTCGTATCCGAGGCCAACATTGGAGCCTGTCACGATGATGACCTGGTCCGTGAAGAGGGTCGTTGGAGCTTTTGGTTCGACGAAAAGCTGAGAGTAGAGAAAGCCCATGTTGTCGTGCCTTAAAAGTTTGATAACATCTAGCGACAATGTCTAGATGTTGGAATACTCAAATACGCCGGCAAATATTATAACGCAGCTGAAGACCCAAGCTTCAAGGTCCAGAAAAAGTCTGGACAAGACATGTCAGCAATTACCTGGAATTAAACGCCCCTAAGCCCGCCTTGCCTCCATCAAGCCAATCCCACATATCAATCGGATAAACATTGGCTGAACAGCGTGGAACAACCGATAATGAAAGCTCTCATTTTCGAATAATTGTTGATCCAAATTGGCAGAAGAATAACAATCTCATCGATGAAGATACAGCATGGGCTTGGCCGCACTCACCAACTGCAGTAGACATCAATTCATTCAGTTTGCGACAGCAAGTCAAAACCTGCGCAACGTCCGTAGCATCTCCACAACAGGACATCAAAACCTTTCGATTTTGCTTATATGGCTGGATACATCCTTTCCATGGCTATAGCCACGAGTCCAGAATCTGACCCTAAGCCCTATTTAATACGCAGACGGTAAGTTAAGCTTACGCAAGAGATCGGTGCCTGTGATATAGCAAGCGTTTCCTATTAAGCAACGATTCCCAGTACGTATTACACTGCAAAGTACACGCGACAATGCAGCCCTACGAATGCTTGTTAGAACCCGCCTTAGAATTCGGGTTCCGGATTGATCCCGCACGGGATCTAATTGTGCTGGGGCCGAGCCGGGCTTCTCCAGAGTCGCAGCACCCTGTCATGACTCCTACATACGCCCGTAGGGCGAGTCATGGATAAGCTGATGCAGTTTGAACCTGACCAGAAATATTGCCCTTTAATATAGTCTGTAACTTTATCAGACGAACTCTACAGAGCCAAGCTAGGCCCCGTGCTGGGCGTAATCCCATTTATGCTCTTCTAACACACATGTGGTGATGAACACTAGCTGGACAGCAACCACGAGATCAAAGTGTCGTCCTCCATACCGATGAGGCAGGCGACAGGCTAGCCCTCCCGCCTGGAGCCTTAAGACCCCCCATACTCTTTGGCAGTAAGCTGTCATTGACCCCAGTTCCGTACTGCTGGGTCTTTCGGAAAACACGGAAAAGAGTCCCTCATGCACGGACGGCGAATGATGCTTAAAATATTAATCGTGGCTGTGTGCTTAGCTTCAGACGGGGTGACAGATTGATTGACCATGGATTGACTGACTCGTCAGCGATGCTGTGGCCATCTTGGGTATCCGTCTCTGAAATTTGGATAGACGGTAGTAATAAGACCTGTCCATTACATATATAAACGAATTCTAATCACTGATCGAACATGTAATCTGCTGGAACTATTCGCCTTCTTAACTCTACCGTTCGTTCCGCACATTACCGGCATCTTAACATCACCTTCATTTTTCAACTTCACAATGCAGCTCTCACTCATTCTTCTCTCTGCGGCGTCCGTCGCCTTCGCGCTGCCTCAGCCTGTGCCTCAATCATGCGATGAGGCTTGCCCCAACCCTTGCCGACAGGCCAACACAAACACATACTGCACTGGCAAGAAGGTCTCAGAACTTAACAACACACCACCACCTGCCCAGTTCAAGAACCAATGGAACTGCCCCGCTGGTAGCAGCTCCCCTCCTGCGACCTACATCCAGATGACGCAGAACGGAGCTGCTGAGGGCGGTGTCACCGTCTTCTGCACCATCTAAAAAGAACGCAGCGCCTAACTTCGGTATTGCAAGCCATGACGAACGACGCGTCACAGAATTCTGGCCTGCGTCGTACATCAATCCAACGACAACGCCTCACTCAATCAAGGCGGAGGTGGATTTGGGCAACCGACCGCTCTATAGATTATTGATCTAGACTGTACTTATTTTGTAACCATATATCTTTGGTAGACAATCAAACTTTTGATACCCAGTCACTACTGATTGGACTGTATCCTGACTTCCGGCCGTGAGAATAGCTGTACGTGGCAATCACCCTCAATTCCCCTTTCATGCACTCGGTAGGCAGGCCCGTATGTCGAACGTAGATACAGTCTAGCTCAAAGACACGCTTCTCAGACTCTAGAGTAAGTTCAGAGCAGGTATCAGCGAGAATCTGGACTTAACTTGGTTTAAGCCCGGTTACCGCCATCCGTCTCCACCTGACACTTTGCCTGATGGAGAAGCAAAGCCAACACGCCAGACAATGGTCAACAGCTCGGTTTCGGGTCTTGACATTACTTAAACCGATATCTTTCCTTTGGGTTTATCTCCCATCATCACTCAGCAGGAACATTTCCAGAAAATAGCAAAAGTGGAAAACTGTACCCCCCCTACATCCCTCAACCTCCCACGATCAATTCGATTCCAACTGAACCGTGTATACCTCTACCATGGACTTCGCTCCCCCGGAACCCCCCACTGAACTCGGTCGATACCGCATTCTTTCGCCCAAATGCGGTCTCCGGGTATCACCGCTCCAACTGGGCGGTATGTCGATCGGCGACGCCTGGTCAAGCTTCATGGGCAGCATGAACAAGGAGCAGGCCTTTGAGCTTCTTGACGCTTTCGTCGCTGCGGGCGGGAACTTCATCGATACGGCCAACGATTACCAAAACGAGCAGTCCGAGGCCTGGTTAGGCGAGTGGATGAAGCTGAGGGGTAACAGAGACCAGCTCGTCATCGCAACCAAGTTCACCTCCGAGTACAGATCTCATGCTCTCGGGAAAGGAAAGACGCCCAATCATTGCGGGAACCATCGCCGCAGTCTACACATGAGCGTCCGCGATTCCTTGGCCAAGTTGCAGACCGACTGGATCGATATCTTGTACCTTCACTGGTGGGACCACACTACATCGATAGAAGAGGTGATGGACAGCATGCATGCGCTCGTCGACCAGGGCAAAGTCCTCTACCTCGGAATTTCTGATACCCCGGCATGGATCGTGGGCGCGGCAAACACCTACGCCAGTCTGCAGGGCAAGACACCCTTCTGCATCTACCAAGGCCGGTGGAACGTCATGAACCGCGACTTTGAGCGCGAGATCATCCCGATGGCCCGCCACTTTGGCATGGCCCTGGCTCCCTGGGACGTTCTCGGCGCGGGCAAATTCCAGAGCAAAAAGGAGCTCGATGAACGCAAGAAGTGGGGCGAGAGCCTGCGCAGCCTCTTCAGCGGCGACATGACGGAGAACCAGACCGCTGAGGAGGTGCGCATGAGCGAGGTTCTGGCCGAGGTGGCCGCAGAACACGGCATCGAGTCCGTCACAGCGATTGCGCTCGCGTACGTGTTGAGCAAAACGCCAAACGTCTTCCCGCTCGTGGGTGGGAGGAAGGTGAAATACTTGGAGGATAACATACAGGCGCTGAAGATCAGGCTGACGGAGGACCAAGTGCGCCGGTTGGAGGCTGTGAGGCCGTTTGATCCCGGGTTTCCGAGCAACTTCATTGGGGAGGACCCGAAGGTTTCGGGCCAGCCCAGCGCTCTGCTATCTCGAGCTGGGCCTTTGGCGTTTGTGCAAAGCTCAAGAGCTATTGGATACGAGCCATGATTTGACGGAGGTGTCGATGAGCTTCCGAGCTGCTTACCAGTATGGATTGAGAAAATGTCACAGAAATTGTTGAAACACTCGAGGTCAGCCTGCAGAACAGCGTCTGTAGGCATGCAACTAATACTACGCCAAACCACAAATAAGCGCTTATTTAGAACCGAGTCATAACCAAGACCCACGACAAGGTTATGATGCAGGTTGCTAACTCTGTGCCATGCAGGGGTTCGTCTGGTCTCGGGGTGTTGTCATCACACAATTTAAACTTCTTCGTCGCCGGGCTAGACTCAAAGCAAAACGCACACCGATCTGTATCTAAACTTTGATCGATAGGAGCCAATCGTTCTCTAACATGAACGGCAAGCATCGTTGTCTACCATGGCATACAACCAGCCTTCCCGACGCGTGATTTGTGAAATCGTATCTTTTTTAACATAGCAAAAGCATTTGATTGGGGGGGCTACTGTTTGCTACCCTCCTTGCCTTCGTCTCTACGATTCCAAGGCAAAGAGTCCCTCCAAGTGTCGATCATGTTCCACTCCCAGTAAAGTTCAGTACCTCCGGCGACCGCTGCTTGCTCTCTTAGTCCGTCAGGGGCGCAGACGTACAGTTCCCATCTTGCCATTTCCTCGGCAATCCTGTTGTATCCTTTTGTCCAGGCGTATCCATATTGACCACCTCCATCATCGAACCAGAAGTTGCCGTCCAAGCCCCCCGGTAAGTCCCTTGATCGTTCTTGGCAGCGAGGACTCAACTGAAGCTGCGGAAAGCCTGAGCCATTGGTCTCGGACAATGTCAGATCAACGCCGCAATCCATTGCATGGCGTTGTAGGCTCCTATCCGAGATATAAGGCTTCAACTCCAAGTAAGTCCCGGTGTATTGTCCCGCAATGGCAGCCATGATGACCTGCATTTTGGCGTTCGGCCGTCGGATAAGGAGTTCTCTCAGGGTATTTTCTTCGGGAATCTTTGGGTGCCAAATCAGATCCGCCACGTCTTCCCTGTCCACCGCCTCAGGTCCAACTCGAGATAGGTCGTTATCCATGATAAACCTCGCTGTGACGGCTCTTCGGATTTTTCTCCCATAACATCCCATCCTGCCCATCTCCTCCTCGTGAACCGCCCACCACTTTGCAAACGTCGTACTATGCTGGATCCCCCTCATCACCGCCAAAGACTCCCTCTTCTCCGCAAGAACAGGCCTCCGCAGCCTCACGTAGCGATCCACATTCCCTTCCCATGCGGCCATCAAAATCAACACATCCTTCCTTGCCGTCGGCAGATCCACAGGCAACGGCTCATACAGCAACCACGCAAACTCTCGCGGCAGCCTCGCCATGTCAGGATTAACCCCGACGCCCTCTCCGGTTATGTCAAACCACATCAGCCCCTGACTCCAATCCGCCGGCGTCAACTTCTCCACATCCGCAAACAAACCCGATCTCAACGCCGTGTCCCCGTTCAACCCGACCCTGATCCTCCTCTCCGGGTTCTCCAGATTGACCGTGCAGGTGTAGTCGTCCATGACAGCATACCTCACAGGCTGCTCGACAATGGCCCTGAAAATTGCATCCGCACCCGCGACATCGACGTCGGGCGCCCCCGCGTCCCGCGCATCCCGCGCCTCTTCGGCGATGGATATGTCCGGGAGGAGGTTGAGCTCGAAATAGAGCTTGGCGTAGCCGGCCGCGGCGCAGGCCCGGCCGACGTGGTACCGCATCTCCGGATAGCGCCGGGCTAGGCGCCGGTAGGTGTCCTCGCTGCCGAGGTAGTACCAGATGCAGTACGGCTTCGGGTGGGAGTCGTACATTCCCGGGACGATGTTGTTGGAAATTTGTGAGGCGATTGCTTGCTTGGTATACACTGGATCTTCTTCAAAATCTAGATCCTCTGTCCAGAGAATGAGGTCTTGATCTACGTTGGAGGACGCAGAGGAGGACGAGGAAGAAATAGAAGTACCCCAATTACCCATTTTGTGCGTGAAAATAAAAAATGCGAAGATTACTGCGACCCCAGCAGCATTGCCTGCCGAATTTAGAGTTGGGGTGGTGAAGATGAAAGAAAGAATAGTTAAGCATCATGTGGGAGCCGAATGATGTGATGTCTCCCATGTTTTATGCATGTTAAATTTGGCCTCACCCGCGGAGTTGATGTCCCATCTGGGCTAGAGTGCGGCGCATGCCGGACCACATCTGCCGCAAGAGATCATGGTAGCAGTCCGGAGCCGAGTCACGGCCGCCCAGTACCTTCCCGTCCTTTGCAGACTTTCTCCTCGCCCGTTCTTGAACTCCACGTCTTCGGCAGTGTGGAGCAACCAATGACACATCATCGACCGGAAGGGACCCGCCCCCGGATTTCCAACGCCGACCGCATCTCCTCAAGGCACTTGTCGATAGACTTTCACCTCTTTGGATTTACTGATGACACAGATGGGTATGCGTGCCCTGCATACGTTTAGAATCTTGCTGTACAGTAGATGAGAAGAAATAGGGAACAACACAAAAGCCGACCGCATCTTCCGACGTCCTGAATCCGAAGCTTCGCTTGTGTCTCTTTCAGTTATACCGATGTCTTTCACATCGAGCAGCGGCGTTTAAATGAGGCGCCAATGACCACTTTCTAATCAACTCGGAAAAACAGTCCCGAACACGTCCGCCCTCTAACACGATTTAGGACTTTGATGTCGGCTACTAGGTTCAGTCAGCAGGTGACGACTTGAGCAACCTCAAGATTAGGTTAGCTGCCCGACTTCATCACATCACTCCATCCCAATCGCGACCCAACAGATCCTATCTCTCGCTTCCTCCGCACGAGAGAGCATCTCGACCAACTAACATCATCCCAGCGTCCAACCCCTCTAGGCTTGAGCCCCATTGGCTCCCGAGCAAAGACCAACGAACTCTGCCCTGCGTGCTGGGAAGATGGACGACAACTCTACCGCCTTGGGGTAAGCCGGCGAGTCATTGACCAGCATCGCACCGAGGCTGTTTCTCTATTCGTAAGAATTGGACACATCAATTGCTGAAGTAAGAGGTATGTACACGACGCTGCTCTCCAATAGTGTTTCAACAAACTGAGTCTTGCAAAACCTAAATTCCGACTAATGCCTTACCGGGAACTATAATGTCATGAACCAACCTTGCAGCCCCTGGGGTCCCCGTCAAGGTCAGACGGGCAGGAAATATCATCCTCTGGGGCCTTATAGGATGGAACGGGTCACCCGTGGGATCCATTCTGCCCTATCTCCTCCACACTCTGTCTTACCAGCGCCGGCCGTCTGTGAAAGCTTGCTCCCGTATCCCACCCGATGGGCTGTTCACGAAACCGAAGCCCAAGATTCTTGGCAGGCTATCTTGGCTTACATATCCATCACGACGGCATTATATACCTGAGCCGCGGGTCTGCCCTCCAAAGGGGGTGAGCGGGAACGAAAACCAAACGACACAAACCAGCCGAAAAGAAACATCACGTCCGAACACCCCGCCACCGAGAGCCCCATCCCGCCGAAGCCATCCGCATCGCAACCTCCACACCCCCAATCACCATCCCACACGTCCGCAACCCTCCGCGGGTCCGCCGCCGCTGCCGCTCCGCTCGGAGGCAGGCAAGGCAGAAAAATGGCAGAAAACATCAAAGGCTCCATCGACCTCTCCCGCGAAGAGGCCATGGCCATCACCGCCCTCGCGACCGCGGGCATCTACAACGCCGTCGAGATCTACGTCCTCATCTTCACCACCTTCCGCCAGCGCCGCGGCCGCTACTTCTGGGCCATGCTGGTCGCCAACTCCGGCATCTTCGTGCACGCCATCGTCTCGCTGGTCCGCTACCTCCGCCGCAGCGGCACCGTCGTCCCCGGCGCCTTCGCCGTCGCCGCCTGGTGCGCCATGGTCACCGGCCAGTCCGTCGTGCTGTGGTCGCGCCTGCACCTCGTCGTGTACAACCGCACCTGGACGCGCCTCGTGCTGGCGCTCATCGTGACGGACGGGTGCGCGATACACGTGCCGATGGCGGTGCTGTGGGTGCTCTGCTGGGCGACGCCGCGGGACGCGCAGGCGGCGTGGATCGAGCGGTACGGGGTGTACGAGAAGGTGTCCATCGTGGTGTTCACGCTGCAGGAGACGTTGCTGACGGGGATCTTTGCGCGGCAGGGGTGGTACAACCTGCGGCCGCTATTCGCGTTCAAGACGCGCTCGGCGAGGTTGATATCGTGGTACCTGCTGAGCCTGTTCGTGCTGGTGTTCCTGCTGGATGTTGGGCTGGTGGTGCTGGAGTACACGAACAACTTTGTGTTCCAGACGACGAGCAAGCCGTTGGTGTACAGCATCAAGCTCAAGGTCGAGTTTACGGTGCTGAATAAGTTATTGGCGTTTACGAAGATGAATTCCTGCGATTGTCACCACCTGAGCGACCAGCCTGGGAGTTTCACGAAGGGGCTTGTGACGTCGGATACGAATACCACGGCGAAGGGGAGGCAGAATGGGATTTCGCCCGTACCGGAATCTGAACGACCTGACCATATATTTGACGGCAATTGAGCATCGAGAAGAGGGATTGTTGTATTTCATGAAACGGACGGCCACTTGCCTTTGAGCAGACGCGAGTTGATACCCATAGAAGCATGAGCATGCTGTAATGAAGCGAAACTGTTAGCGATGAGAACATTTCACGAGTAGAACCACTGTCACGATTTCAGACCACAACCACGATATGTTGAAGCAAGTTCGTTATCGGTTCATATGACCGAGGGTGACGCATGATGAGAGTCAGAGTAATTGAACGCTTCGGAAGTTCCGAGTTGAAATCACTGCGGACTAGGAAGCGACAGATAATAAGGTTGAGCAATGTCATTGAACTGCAGTTTTGCACCGTGCGGTGATAGCAGAGCAAACACCGATCAGGGCACACCCTTGAGCGTCAGTAGACAAGCTTCCAAAGGACCGGAAGACGAGAATCAGGGTAATTTCTCATATTCCTTGCGGACTTGCGGGGTAAAATGGCCCAAGCCGTCGCAGAGGCCTCAAGTCATGGGCGCAGCGAAGAGTCAGCATCGTCACTTGAGGCTACGGTACTGGGCTAAATCACGCTTCTGTGCAAGAAACAGTTTGGGGCGAGTGTGCCAGAATGACTAGGGAGTGACGACCGATGAATTCCAGCAAGACATCCAACGAATGTAAGATCACGAACTGCTTACAGTTGGCTGACGTTGCCGCCACCCAGGAACGGCTCGCCCGGCTGCTGAGTTGCGGACGCGATGAACGACACGCCAGCTGAAAACCGATTGACAATCAAAATCTCCGATACCTGTTCACTCCTGCGTGATGGAAGTTAGATCAGACGTAAAGCAGGAAACGGTCTGCCCGCGTGCAGACTGCGTCCCATTTGCCGACGTCAACTACTGCAAGCTGCAGGAGCTACGTTGTATCTGCAGACGCAATGCCACGGAGAAAACGGCTGGAACCGAGTTCGGAACAGACGGGCCTTTCCTTTGGTTCTGGCGTGGCTTGTCGGTTTGACAAGATCTCAAATGTCTTCGAGTGGTTTCACAAAACCTGCCGTGGCTTCATCCACCACGCAGAGTTCGAACTCGTAATATGACGCAACTAAAATCTTGCTGCTATCTTTGGGTTCGTTCAAGTTGCTGCTTGTTTTTTGGGGGCAGTTGTCGCTTCAACGGGGCATATCGAAGGTTGCGAGGAGCGAGAAGTCATCCACCAGCAACCCTTTCACAGTGAAGTGGAACAGGTGGACCGGGAATTGTGACTGAGGCGAGGCGTGCAGTCGGCGGTGGGTGGGCAGTTGCCAGTGGACAGCCGTGACAGCCCGCATCTCGCAGGGCAGGGCAGGTGGCAGCACAGGGCAGGCTGGGCAGCACGATGGTCCCTGCGTCCGGTGTGGATGCGAGTTGGATGTGACTTTGGCAAGCGTGACTGCCAGTGCCAGGTGCTGGTGCTGGCTGGGCGTGTTCTTTCCTTCTGCATACTTGGTATTAGGTGCTGCTCTCCGAATTGGAAACAGAAACCACGAACTGATCGTACCTGCCTGTGCCTGCCTATCGTTCCTGTGCCTTGCAGATAGATACCTAGGTAAAAAGGCAGGAAAGGTGGGCAGTCACCAGTCTCGTGGTGCCTGCGCTGTTGCTGCCGCCCTAAAACTCATCTCAGTTGGCAGTCGCCGGTCGTGCAGTTCTTTCTGTTTTCTGCTCGACTGGTGACTGCCAGGACGGGGGTTGTCACTCGCTAATGCCGCATTCGGCTAGCGCGCACCTGAATGCCCCGCCTGGCCTCCCCCAGGCTCCCCTGGTCTGGACATCGGGCCCAAGTGGCTTGGCCTCTTTTCCGTGCAGTTGCGCCCCACCATCATCTTTCACTGTTTTTTTTTTCTCTTCCTGATTGTTGCTCGTTTTTACCGATATTCTCTGTCCCTTTGGCCCCCTCCGCGCTTGCTGTTGTTGCGTTGCGTTGAGCTGCGTTGCGTTGCAGTCACGTTTTCGGCTCCCACTTGACACCATCCCCTGACTGACTGACTGACAGCGGATTCCTGGAGGAACACCACCAAAGCTAAACAGCATCTCTCTCTCTCTCTCAGAGCCAGGCTCCTGGTCGTCGACCGCCTCGATCGGGCTTGCCCTTGTCGTCGGCGGTGGCCCTTAGCCTCGACTGAAAGGGAGACGGCCTCATCAAAACGTGTTTGCCGGGATATCCTACGCCATGAGTGGAATTCCAATGGGCGACCAACTGCCCCTAGACATTCGAGCCAGTGCTTCCTGTCAAATGAGATCAAGCTCCCGGCTCTTGCTTCTCGTCGCTCAGTCTTGCTTGAGAGACACCCTCTGCACTCCGACTGGAGGACTGGAGCCACTGGACTGAGGTGCTGGATAACACGGTCCCCTCAAAAGCATGGCCACCCCTGACTTGGACCCTTGACCCTGTATCGCTAAAGTGAACGCCGGACTCTCGGCCGTTTTCTCACGCCTTTTTGGCGTTCCAACACGGCACACGGGAAACATAGCCAGTATCGTCAACATTTCTTCGATATCTGTACTCTGTACTCGCTGAGTGGTGTTGTTGGCCGTGGAATGTAGTGTGGTGAATGCCGTGTTGGCTGGGACTCTGGATAGGCTCTCTGCTGATTGCCTGCCTCCCTCCCCATGCCTCGGCCACCGGCGATATTGGAGGCAATAGTGACCTGCACTCTGTGACCTTATTGTCCTGATTTAAGCCTCAAGCCTTCGGGATGGCACTGACGATTGATTGCTTGTGGCCAAACAGGCGAGGCCAGTCCGACCACCTCGCCTGCAACTGCGACTGCGACTGCAACTGCAACTGCAACTGCTATTCAGCTGCGATGTGACTGCCTGTCTTGTTTGTTGGACGTTGCTGCCCCCTTTGATGCTTCTCTCAGGGTTCCCAGAGGGAAGGTAGGTATCGTAGTAAGGTAGCTCCTTCCTTCCCCTCCTGCTCCTCCCTCTTTCCTCCTTTCTTGCTTCATGCTGCTGTTCCTTCTCTGTCTCGTGGTTTGGATTGGTATTCCACGGTCTGCCTCTTCTCCTCTTCACATCTCCAGCTCCCGAGGTCCCTCCCTCTTTCTCTCCTCCTCCGCTGCTCCAGCCAGCCTCATTGCTCACTTCCTCCTCCTCCACCAAACTGACTCTTCCCCGGCATCAACTCTCTCCAAAACGGCATCGTGGCATTTGAGACAGTGACGATCGCCCGGGATATTTCGCAAACGAAACGACGTGCGCGACTCCCAGAACAGCAGGAGACCCTCTTCTCACGCTGCCTTCGTCCCCAAATCGGCCCAGCAGACGACTCGACTGCGCAGACTGCGAGAACGGGCGCATCCGTCACATTGCGCGCCTCCCAATCAGAAGCCACCCCCGACGCGCTTCTAATTTGCCAGACATCCACCCACCCCGGTCAAGCATCCTTATCCACGCCCATCCTCTCCTCTTGTGCAGACCGTGACTGCAGACGGTGCCTGGCCTGTCGACCTTTCGAAATAAACACCACCCACGGTTGGCTTTCCCCCTGGTCGCCCCCTGTCCTGACCCGACCGACCCTCTGCTTGCTGGCCCACGCTAACCCACCACCACGCCAGTCCGCTGCAGCCCAGGCCAATCCAATCCATTAATCTCTCCCCCGTCTTCACCTCCAGCACACACAACCGGCTCAATAGGAGCAACAGCACGGCATAGCACAGCACAGCACATCACAACGAGGACAGCAAAAGCCAGCAGCAGCAGCAGCAGCACCCGCAGCGAGTGAACGAACGAACCCCGTCCCCCTCGTCCGCCCACGCCCCCCCTTTCCCCTACGCCACCCCATCCAATTCGACTGGTCCAGCACGCCGCGCAACAAAACAGATAATTATCCCGGGCTACCCTATCCTGCGAATATCTCCAACAATCTCGCGCTCCCAAGCAACGCTGGACAACGCACAGCAGCTCCGCACTGCAACGGCAACCACAGCAGCCACTGCGAGCTCCTGTGTTCTCTTGTTTATATTTTTCTCTCCTTCTCGACCGCATGACGATCGTGTTTGCATCTCTTCATCAAGCCGCTGCTGCGCTACCGCTGCCTCGGCGAACGAAGACGCAGCCCCTTCCGCTCCTTCATCACCTCACGAACGACTCCCACCAAAACACCGGGTCCCCTCGACCACGACACGAACGAAGCATAAGAATAGTGCATGGAAGTCGACATTTCCGCGACTAGGACTCTCCACGCACCTGATTCCACCGCCCACATCGATCCGATTACACTTTTGAGACATCGGCACAACAGCACCAGATTCTGAACAGTGCTTCATACTGCCAAAGATACAGGGTCTCGCCCGGGGGATTGCACAATCCCGACACCCCCAGTTCGTTCAACTTTGTGGCCTCGCGCCTAACTTTATACAAGGAGGACCGAATTCCTCCCGCGCCGACCGTACGAAGCCTTTCTTCTTCTCTTTCCCATCATGGCCAGCTCGCCGCCGGCCTCTCCCGGGAATCAAACACCCCAAAGACCGATGAGCGCCATGGTGCGACCGTCACCGAGAAGTAATAGCCGCCTGAGCATGACCAGCAAGCATGGCGGTGGTAGCAGAGCATCTGACGAAGATGCCCGGACCGCCGTCAAAGTTGGTAAGTTTGCTCTCCCGCCGGAATCGTCGTCCGTTGTGCTTGTGACGACGTCGCGTCGCCTACCCCCCCCTTTTCCTGCAAACAGAACATCACACCACTGACCACCGACTTTCTACCACGCAGCCGTGCGCGTTCGGCCAGCACTCAAGCCCACAGACCCGGGTTACGAATTGATTCCCCAACGATTTCAGCGATCCATGGTCCAGGTCACGACAGACACCAACATAGCAATCGACTCCCCGCAAGGAAGGAAACTTTTCGTGTTTGACCGTGTCTTCGGCTCCGATGTGGACCAAGAGGGAATCTGGGAGTATCTGAGCGATTGCGTCAACGCCTTTATTCAAGGTTACAATGTCTCGCTTTTGGCATACGGTCAATCAGGAGCTGGAAAGTCGTACACGATGGGCA